TTGAAATTGATTTATTTTGCCGTTTTTGTTTTCTCTTATTAGCCTACTCGATCACTTCTTTTCTACATTTTTTCTTAATGCAAAATAATATTAACAATATGTAAAGCATCTTGTAAATTTTTTTTAATTATTATTGATGATTTCTAAAAGTAAATTCACAGCTATAAAAATTATTAAAAATATTTCGTTTTTAAAACTTAATCTTTACCTAATTTGACTGCTGGACTTCTTCATGATTGAGGGTGGGGGATGCATTTGCGTAGATGTAATAAACATTTTTAGACATTTATTATACAAAATATGACAGAAATGATCTTATATATAATTTACAGGTATAATTTATACTTTTAGGTATTTATTTGGGGCCCTCGGATTTCCTGGGGCCCTAAGCGGCCGCTTATGCTTAATGGTTTAATTCGCCCCTGTGTCAGAATATAATAATTTACCTTTCTAACTTCGTTATTTTATTTGTAACATTGGATGTCATGCTTAATAAATAAGACCCCAAGAAGACAAGGAAAACAAGTCAGTGGGAAACTTGTGGCTATGTTATCCTCTCAACATGCAGCATTTTGACTTCAGCATTTCTACTTCTACTGCACAAGATGAAACACATTTTTTGGGTACATTTACATTACATAAATCCATATTATGGATTGAGGTAAAGTTGGTTTAATAATCGACACATTAGTCCAGTGAACTTGTAACACAATCCCTATAGTGTTTACCACGCTACTTTAAATATTCGGTCTAAAATCACATGCATGTATGACTTCTAAACAACATTAAAACTATTTATTCTACTGTAAACAATGTTGTACTTTGATAGTCATTGATTGCTAATATGATTTCACTATTTAAAATTCGCAAAGAAACCTCTGAAATTATAAAAGTCTGAAAGCCTGATAGACCCTTTTCACGTGACACACGCGGTGTCCGATTTCACTCCAGACAGTGTAACATCCGCCTTGCCTACACAGAACTCCCTATAGATAATTTACACAGTCAGCTTTATATTTACTACAGATATGGTTAGATTGTCGGACAGAAAGTAGTTTCATGAGTTTACATGTTAATCTTTTACAGTTTGTGGTTTACATGTTGCAAAAAAGGCTGTATTGGGGCAAATATGACCTAATCACCTTTCTAATGACCACATGCATTGTCTGTTTATAAAGCATAATCGGGTTAAGAATGTGCACGTAAACGCACTTACTTTACAACTCAACACATTCCCTTCTGTTTAGCAGGTCCGGGGTCAGTTGAGGTGAAATTAGGGAAGAACAGGACAGAGGCCGACGTGCGGCGCTACACTGACGACAGGGACCGGCTGGAGCGAGAAAGAGAGGAGGTTAAAAACACTCTGGCCACCTTGAGGAAAGACAGACGAGAGGTGAAAGACGAGCTCAGCTCCTGCCAAGGTACTACAGTGCCGCCTAATGGTCATAATTGGAAGTGCCCACATGACAAGTCCAAAACATTTCAATTTACGCATTTTACTCTGTTAAACATAAAATAAGCTATTTTGAGGAATTAAAACCGGTAAACAATGACATTCATATTAATTTAACCGCAGAAAGTCAGACTGGCTTGTAACAAGGTTGAGTAACAGAATTTTTAGTTTTGTGAGAAATAGTCCTATAAAGTAATCGTTGTGTGTGTCAAAAGGGAATTTAACAGATACTACAGTATATTTACTTTAGTCAAAACAGAGAAAATGCAGATCTTAATAACAAACTTGTAGAAAATAAATAAAAGGGAACCAGTCTTGAGGGTAATGCAATTATAAGTAACGTGAGTACGTAATAATAATAATTTTTGTAACAAGTATTGTATTACTTTAGAAAATTAAGTAACAATATTTTACAGACAGAGTTGAAGATGGCAGGCCAGAGCCTTAGATTTCTGAAATGGAAGTATTCTCTTTATTTTGAATGCATTGATTGTAAATGAAGGTGTTGGTTGAACAGTGCATTGTATTTGCAGAGCTCCTTTATTTAAAAAGCTGAAGAAAAAACCCTGAAAGTTCTGAAAAAGATCAAGCCGAGTAAGAAAAAGTAACGTAAAAGCAAATCAAATGTAAAGTATTACTTACCATAAAAAGTAACACAACTAGTTACTTTTTGGGGTGGGGTGGGAGGATAACTCAATATTGTAGTAAATTACTTTTAAAAGTAATTTTCCCCAACAGTGAAGGGAACCATAAAAAAATCTCATCATTTAGTGTATACATAATTCTTTAAATGTGAAAGTTATCCGACAGCTCTGTCTGCTATATTGTAAGAGATGAAAATTTATATATATTTTGACAGCAATTTACACGTGTCACTCAGCCTCTTTTTTTAATAAGCCATCCTTTTTTTCTGTCTTGTACTTATGCTGCTGCAGTTTCTATAGACTACTGTTTAGGTATGAGACACACAGCTAATGTAAAAAGCTAACTGTTTTTGATGATGGCTTGTTTAGACCCCATTCGGCAGGCCTCTCTGGAGGCTCGTCTGAAGCAGATGGAAGAGACGTGTCGTGAGGCAGAGCGTAGGCGAGTGGAGGTGGAGCTCAGCCTGATGGAGGTGAAGGAGAATTTGAGGAAAGTGGAATCTGGACCCTTTACACTGGGCACCACTGTGGACAGCAGTCTACTGGAAATTTCAGTGGTTAGTATCACAACAAGATTCAGTTTACAGTCTTTTCCTGTAATTATATAGGTTTATAATTAAATAAGTTATGCTCAAAAGTTTGGGTTAATAATTGATGATTTGTTTTTTAAAGAAATGAATAGTTTTTTTTTAAGTAGCATTTGAGCCACAGAATTAGACTGCTGTCTCTTTAAGGCAGGGGTGTCCAAACTCGGTTCTGGAGGGCCGGTGTCCTGCAGATTTTAGCTCCAACTTGCCTCAAAACACCTGCATGGATGTTTCTTGAAAGCCTAGTAAGGGCTTGATTAGCTACCCCAGGTGTGTCTGATTGTGGTTGAACTAAACTTTGCAGGACACCAGCCCTCCAGGAACGAGTGTAGACACCCCTGCTTTAAGGCCTTGATCAATATGACATAGATCTGCCAATCTGATCTTTTTTTTTTCAGTGTTCATTTTAACTCATTTTTAACTGGAATTTTAACAAAATTATGTTTTTGACTGTTAAAAACAATCAAGATGTAAAAGATTATGCACCAGTTCTCTTTCACATTGCGTAAAAGTTTTACTTCAATTAATGATTTCCAGATCACAGGGTACACATGCTGTAAAAGCAAAACATCATTATTCTGCTGCTCCTTCAAAAACTTTTTTAAGCTTAAAACTAAAGTGAGTGCATACTTTAAGTGAGTGCAGTTTAGAAAAGTAAGGATTCAGTAACACAAAGTTTTAAATAATACATACTTGCTAATATATATTTACTTATATTGATATATATTCTAGCACAAGCCAGCAGCTGTGTCTAGCCCTGCTCCAAATACACCCAACAACACCAACATTAACACCCCCGCCTGCACCAACAACGGAGATTCACCTGTCAACTCAGCCACAGCCCTGAAGAACAGACCCCCGTCCGTCATGGCAGCCAGCAAAGGAAATGTTCTACAGAAAGCCAAGGTTAGTCCACTCATACACACATAACTGATTTATGGAAATAAATATTTGTCTGCCAAACAAGTATACATTTAAAAAAACATGATTTGACCAATGGCATTACCATTTAAAACAATTGTTGTATTATATTGTTTGCTAAATATTATTATTATTTATTATTATCAGTAGTAGTAATAGTAGTAGTTATATTATTTATTAATTATCAAAACTCTTCTTGTTTAATATTTAAATTTTTTTTGCCTCCTTGATTTTTTTTATGTTTAAAACTTATTCTGATTTTTTAAATTTCAAACTAGGAGACTTTAATTATTTTGCTGGATTTCTAAAAATATTACTGTCTTTTTAAACCAATCATACTGACCCAAACTGTCTTACAGTAATGTATCTACATGTTAATAATGGCTGATGAATATGGTAATCTAAATTACCATCTGAAATCATTACTGTATCATTATAATGATACATTTCGTTGAACGTATAATGATACGTTCGTTTCGAAATGATACTGCATTTTGTTGCATTGTACTTGTACATGTGTAATGACAATAAAGTTGAATCTAATCTAATCTAATAAGAACACAATGCGGTTTTAATTCTCAGTCACCTTTCTTTCTATCTTTAGGAATGGGAGAAAAAAACCACAACCTAGTGAATGGAAACACTGAGCACAAATGGACTTTTTAGCCAAATCTCAAAGGACTGCTAAGCAAACGCTTCAGGGAGGGTGGGTGAGAAACAAGGGGTGTGGCCAATGACCTGCAGGCCCCGTCCCTCTGAAACAGCACCTTCCACTCATTGCTGCTTCTCTGCAATTGGAGGCTGAGATGGTACTCTGTACATGCAGGCAGCTCATCCAAGACCATACTTTCTGTTCCCTGCCAAAAAAAAAGGCGCCACTGGACAATTGTAGATTTTAAATCTATTCATTTTCAGATTGAAATTAAGACATTCTTAGGTAAAGGGAAGGAAGGGAATAATTGACATTCTATAAGTGGCGTGTACTTTATTTAACGGATCATTGCAAGCTTGTAAAGTGACCAAAAAGACAGCTTCAAGGACGGCTATTTTTAAGATTCAAACCTTCAATCAGACAATTGGTACATTGTAGCTTGGTTCATGTATGCTGGTAACCAAGATGTGAATATATATATAAATTACATATCCGTTCAGTGTTTTTTTTGGATTTGTTACTGTACGCCAGCTGAAAAAAATGCACTTTTTATTCAAATAAAAGTTTGTACTGACAACAATGAATATCTATGCATTTACAGACATTAGAACTTAGGGCACACCTCCCACACCCCCCTTCCAGAAATTACTTTGGCCAGGTTGGGATGTCTGCATTTATGCCTATAAATAAGCTCCAGCTTTCTCCAACAGGTGGCACTAAAACAACACTAAAACTACACAAAGTATTTCAGTTGAGAATTTATTAGCTTTACAACAGACAAATGGACAGGTATTACAAAATAAATATCTCTAATGTTAGGCTTTCTGTAACAGGGAGGATATTTGCAAATGGCAGATCACAAGCAGGTCCAAATCTCAGACAGAAAAAATATTCATAAAGGCCTTCAGTGCTGAATACACAATGCAAACAGGGTCAAAATACCCTTAAAGGCTGACTGTGAATAGCAAAAGTCACATTTAAGGCAGTAAATGCAATTACAAAACTTGCAGTCTGCATTCTGGGTTGTGTTCACACGTAGCAGGCTGGGTTTTATTAAAATGAAATATGGTGCAATTGAATCGAACTGTTAGTGTTGTTGTTTTTATTAAGTGTAAACCAGGGCTGCCAATGATTAATCCACAATAAAATAATTGTTGATAATCTTTTAAAATCCATAGAGTGATTCAGGATGTTCATACAAACCATGTATGTTAATTATGTCCATGCTAAGGGGCGCATACAGCTTACCCACAAGACATCCAGCAGAATCGAGTTTTATAAAAACTCTCAGCTACTTTGCTTCCAAAAATGAACAATTATCAGTTTACCATGATCAGCATTATCAGATTGTTCATTATCAAGAATGGATTAGCATATAATCTACATATTTAGTTAGTTCAGCCAAAAATTACAATAATGTAATTATACTCACGCTCATGTTGTTTCAAACCCCTGAGACCTTCATTCACCTTTGGAATGCAAATTAAGATATTTTAAATGAAATCTGAGAGCTCTCTCGTCCTGCAAATACAGCAATGGTTCCGACTTAAACCAGAAAAATACAAAAAATATATCCTCAAAACAGACTACATTCCTTCAGTAGTTCAACTAATTATTTATATATATATATATATATATATATATATATATATATATATATATATATATATATATATATATAAAAGCTTGAGAAAACTTGTGTGCACAACATTTTTTTAAAAAAGACTATTCAACAGTTTCCTTCCTCTGTGTCAGTATAGGGTACCCATTCAGGAAAGCACATGGACAGTTTTTTTTGTACCTTTCTGGACACCAATCAATGAGTAGAAAGCATTAAAATATATAGAGAATCAAGAGAGCTGATGAATTTCATCCAAAATATCTTAATTTGTGTTCCAAAGATCAAAGGTCTAAGGGGTTTGAAATGACTTGTGGGCTAGTAATTACTGACAATTTAATTTTTGAGGTAAACTATCTCTTTAAATGGTACATTTCATAAACATAGTATATACAGTAAACATTGAAATGTTATTCATGTGACATCCATAAAGACTGATTAATTGGGCTAATAACGATATGGAACACATCATGGACATTCATTGGTAATCTTAGATTTGTCTTGTACTGCACAATATCTTATGCACATTTGTGAAGAAATGAACACACTTACTGTAGTAACAAAAACTATTTGCTCACACGGAAGCACAAATGCACCAGCTAACAATGTGTACATCTAAGAAGGTGCTATTGACACGTCATACATAATCGTAAAATGTTTCTGTTACATTTTTTTCCTTTTACAAAAACTACTAGCCTTTTATTTACAGTAAAATTGGAAACACTTTAAAACTAATACTCTATTAGTTAATGTCAGTTCATGTATTTACTAAGATGAACAAACGATTAGTAACAAATTTATTATAGTATTTATTCATCTTTGTTAAAGTTAATTAATGTTATTTAAGTTAAATAAAGTTAGTTCATGTCAGTTCAACTTACTAAGCATTAATTAATGATAACAAGCACAACTTTGGATTTTAATAATGGCTTTGTTAATGTTGAACTATGATTAATAAATCATTTACAAGATTATTCATACAGATGTGGCCACTGAGAATGCGCATTTCTTCATGTGTAATGCTGCAATTTGACAAGCGCAGTCACATGATGTGCTGCACCTGCAAAGGCTGCCTTTTCATGTAAAAAAAAAAAAACATTTTTGTGCTTTATGCAATATCCACCAGGTGGCACAAGGAACAACCGCTTTTCAGGCCAGAGCGAGCGAATTCCCCCCCAAATCAAACAACCGGAGCATAGCATTTCACATGCGCATGCAAAAAAAAAAAATTAAGCAAAACTGAAACGAACACATGAAATACACTGAAACTGAGCAGTTAATATTTTAAACTGTTTTTTTTTAAAGCATAACAGTAATTTGAAGGAGAACACTGACATTTTGAAAAAGCAAAAAAAGTAACTAAAATTAAGTTATGAAAAAATAAGCTGCAGGAGTTATTTTGTGGGCGACGTGGTGGCGCAGTAGGTAGTGCTGTCGCCTCACAGCAAGAAGTTCGCTGGTTTAACCCTCAGGCAGTTGGCGTTTCTGTGTGGAGTTTGCATGTTCTCCCCGCATCCGCATGGAATTCATTGGGGTGCTCCAGTTTCCTCCACAGTCCAAGGACATGCGGTACTGGTGCATTGGGTAGGCTTAATTGTCCGTAGTGTATGAGTGTGTATGGATGTTTCCCAGAGATGGGTTGCAACTGGAAGGGCTATTTCAGAGTGGATATCCAGAGTAGAATGGTAAACAATATAAGGAAAGCGTCACAGGTCATCATTGTTTAAAAATGAACCAGTGTGATGTGAATATAAAACCACCTTCACCTCAGTAAAGCTAGCTAGGCGGAATAGCGCTGTTTACTGATGTTTTATTGGTAAACTAAATAAAATCTACATTATCCATGCTGTAAAAGCACCATTTGAAACTGTATATAGTCACATCAGTCTTTTATCGGAGGATTTTAGTGGCTGACCAACACTTCTGTGCAGAAATAACCCATTTGTAACAACAACATCTAACGGTACATCAGATTTGCGTGAAGCTAAAACAGTTTTAAAAACATAATATTACCCGTCTAAGAGAAATCCTTCAGCCATGGTGTCATCCTTCCTCCAGCGTACAAAAGTAACTTCATGATTCAGGTTTTTAAAAAGTTTTGATTCAGCATGTTTTTACCGATCGCGTGCGCTCCCACTCTCTCTCTCATGAACGTGCAATGCACAAATGGCGAAGCTGCATACAAACGGCTGCTCAGAAGTTCACATCTGCATTTGCTGACAGACAGTTTTGGCTACTTAACGGAATTATGAGAGATGTCGGCCCGAATTGGATTAACATTTTTTTAGTTTTATACCTTACCCAGAATATAAAAATACATATAAATACGTTTAGATCACTTACTTTAGCCAATACTATTGGAATGTGAAGAGACTTTCAACCAGCACAACAAAAAGTGCTTCTGAAGACAATCACCTACTGCACCTTTAAGTATGTTCACTATGTTTCATAACTGCCCCCTGCTGGCCATGTCTTTCTTCTGTTAGACCATTTTGTGCTGTACCACATTGCACTGCAGAATTGCGTGATGTCACGTTCATTCACTCGCACAGCGAATCATCTCAGTGGCGACATCTGTACTAAGTTAAATGATTTTACAGTAACACTTCAGAGTGAATGTAATTATTAACATTAACTAAGAAATGCTTATGTGTTGAGCATCATTTGTACATCCTATCATGTGGACGCCACTGAAGTAGACAAATCTTGCATTATTAAGACTAATGATTAATTGAATAAAAAACATAAACAATGTAATAAAAACAATGATTGATTAGGGGAATTTATAGAATCCCTACTGTAAATGCTGTTACTGATACAAACTGAATGGATATATATACTACTAAAAAAGTGAATCTAGCTCAATTCAAAGTTAACTGAACCAGGACTAAATGTCACTTTTATTTTTTTGACCAAAAGAACTGCACTACAAGTGTGAACACACCCTTGAAGTCAATGCGAATTGCAAGCTGATTTCTGACTCATTGCTAAGTAACTGTCTGCATGTTAAAGTGTACATGTGTGTGCCGTTATCTGATCTGTGTTTTGGACGTGTGTCTCCTGCGCTGCTCTTTATAGCGCTGCAGCAGCTCTTTCTCAGTCTTGGGTTGCCGTCGCCTCAGGCCTGCAGGTTTAGGAAGATCTCCTCTGGATGGCTGCTCTCTGCTCCCTGAAAAACAAGTTCACAAAAACACATCAATCAAAACATCCTAAATATAGCCTGCCATTCTGATAACACCAAAATTACGACCATCCAGCAGGCATACAGTAGAAAAGCGAATAAGTCATTTTGAGAGTTATCACACGTGGGACACACTAATCTCTCATACAGACTTTAAGAAATCTCCATTAAATTGTCATAATAAGATGCGTGAACAAGCCCTTTTTTAAAAAATGCCTAAAATGCATTCTGGCAATTTTCTGGAATGAAAAGTTATATCATTAGCAGTTAAGAGCTGGAACTCCGCTGCGTGTGATCAGTGAGTTTTTAATTTTCTGGTTATACTGTGTTAAAGGTGCTACTCTGTTGCATCTCATAATGATTAAAAAGATGAAGAACAGATGTGAGGTAAAGCAAAGGAGCATGAGGTTTATAAAAACTCTCAATTACTGTACTTCCAAAAACAGAACATGCGTTTACCATTATTAGAATGATCAAATTCCTCATTATCTTGAATGGATTAGCGTATAATATACAGTGAGGGGAAAGTATTCAACACATCATTTTTTTCTGAAAAAAATATTCTAAAGGAGCTGTTTACATAGAATTGAAGCAGAGTTTGGTACAAACACAAACTATACAAACATAAAAATAAAACAAACAAAAAAATCTAAAAAATAAAAAAAAAAGTAATGTGTAATAACAATGAAATGACAAGGATAATGAACTGAACTACTGAATCATATTTAATACTTTATTTATACTATATTTAGGCTTTTATTGGTGATGTCAGCATAAAGACACCTCTCATATGGTGAATGAAGTGCATTGCTCAGATGTGAGTTTTTCACAGACTTCAACAAAGTGTGAAAATCTTGTTGGTTCTGTGGGTCTCGTCCATCAAATCTGAGCTTTATTTTGTTTTTTATATTGGATTCAAGTCAGGTGATTGGCTGGGCCATTCTACAGGCTTTCTCTGAAATTATTTGAGAGAGTCCTTGGCTGTGTGTTGGATCATTGTCTTGCTGAAATGTCCACTCTGGTTTCATCTTCATCATCCTGGTAATGTAGATGTTGGTCTAATTTACAATAAGGAAGGACAGAGGGTTGCTGAATAACTACTGAGAGTTGTCTGGGCTTTCACTGCCTTTCTACACCTCCTTTTCTTCATGTGTTTAATACTTTTTTCCATTTTTCATTTCCTTATTTGTAAATGAATTAATATTGTTTTCTTTGCAAATATGGATTTCTTTGGTTGTTACCAACATCTGGTTAAAAATGATTAACAGTGTCTTTACAAATATGTTTTCTGAGAAAAATCGTCCCCACTGTACATAACTCATAGGTTTAGTTCACCCAAAAATGGAATTATGCAAGTAATTACTTAACCTAGATTGTTGATTAGATAAACATCACCAATATTTAAATTGAAATGTAATATTTGGACATATTCTTGTCTTATTTTACAAATCAAAGAATCCAGTAAATTTCTACATTTATTGGGTAAGGGTTTGAGTAAAATGGTAATATATGTTTAATTTTACTATGTAAAAATCTACAAATATGAGACAAAATTAAAATAAACATAACAGTCATTAAAATAAAAATAAAAACTGCCAGTTTTATTGTCAGAAATTATCAATTAATCTGATTAACAAATGTTTTCTGTTGTTTTAATTGAGGGCTATTCCTCAAAATATTGATTTTTTACACATCTGACTAAAAATGAAACTAAAATCTCTGAATTATATATTTGTAAAGGTAAAAGGTAGCTAAACCCAATGAAAAAAGCAGATTAATTCCCTCTCAAAAAATCTGAGGTCACCTGAGAACCTTTTACCTTCCCTTTGAAACTTGTCAAACACCTGTATTGGCAACAGTAAAACAAGAGTATCCATTACTAGAAAGGCTAATTAGCAGTTTCTGATACTGACGTGTTTCGCAGTGTGGACCCTTCCAGCCACGGCATTCGCAGCGGTAACTCCCATTCAGCATCACACAGATGCCATCATTCATACAGGGGTTTGGACTGCAAAGGTTTACAGGCTTCTTCACATCTGTAAAAAGAACAACAGTTAAACAAATGCATCAGCTTTCAAAGAGGAACATTTGCTCCTGATTTACCTGAACACACCATCTGTACCAGCACATCCTCTGAGTATTTTAGGTCATCGTATGAAGGCACGGTGATCATGTGATCCTCAGAGCCAGAGATGCGGAGAAGAAGCTCCTGCTGGATGTCTCCAACGCCAATCAAGAATATGGACACTCCGCTATCACGGATCTTCTGTGCAGGCACCGCAGCGTCCTCCACACCCGTCCCATCAGTCAGCACCACCACAGCCTTGTTGACTCCAGGACGTGCTCCCTTCCCCACCGTCAGGCTTTGGGAGAGCACATGGAGCAGGGCTGAACCTACAGAAGCCTTCCCACCCAGAAAAGCGGCGTCCCCCACAGCCCTCAGCACAGCGGAGCCCGAGTTGTACTTGTCCAAGTCAAAGACCGTGACAGGACGCCTCCCATAAACCACCAATCCCACCTGAGCCACATCTCGATTAATGTCAAACTGCACTGAAGTGCTCCGAACAAAATCCTGAAAGTGAATGAAATTCTCCTTGCCGACACCACTGGAGGCATCCAGAACAAACACAAGGTCCAGAGCCTGACCCAGACAACCTAACAGAAACAAAAGGGGTATAATAGTTCAGTCATGACAACTCCGAATGTACAGAATTTAAAAATAGAATGTACATAGTTTGGTCTTGGAGGACTAGATCAGCTATGCTGCTGCAGAACACATAGGCTGTATCCGAAATCGCCTACTTACTCAGTAACTACTACATTCGAATTTACTACACGACTGTTCTAAATAGTATGAATGGGAGTAGTATAAATGCAACCTGGAGGTACTACATCCGTCATTTGATTACCATGTGATCTACCTGAGTCAGTTGCGTCAACTGACTCTCATTTATGAATTCTTTCGGTGTGTATCATGGGATAGTGTTGCGTCGATCGGATACATACTTCAGAATCTAGCCAGAAGTAGTAGGTCATCCGAACTCTTTAAATTTGGACATACTACTTTGCTCACATACTGTTTTTACTAAAGTACACTGTTTTTCCACACTATATAGTATTGAAGTATGCGAATTCGGACACAGCAACAGACTTGCTTTAGCTAAATGCTAAATTAACCAATTAGAGCGCAAATGGAGTTTGATGGCTAATACTTATGAACTTTAAATAGCAAAACTGAAACTAATATTTACCCTCAAAAGAACTTATTTAATTAAACTGTTTAAGAAACTATGCTTTATACATTCATTATTATACAGGGTGATTCAAAATGAATGCCACAACGTTGAAAACTGAGAACTCTGCAAAGAAGAAAAGGAGAGCTAAGCTCTTTCTGTTGTCGATTTAAGAAAGCTCTGAAGTTTCACATTGAGGAACCAAAAGAAGGAATAACTGCAGCTATCCAAACTGTTACGCCCAACATGCTACAGAGAGTGTGGAGAGTATTGTCACTTGAGTGTCTGGAGGGGGTCATATTGAACATCTATGAACTTGTTTTCTACTGAAAAAAAACTTTAGGTACCCTTCACATTGATTAATTACCCAGGGTTCCAACATGGTTTTTTGATTAAATACAGATTTTTAAAGTTTTAGTATTCTTTTTGAATCACCCTGTATAATATAGTATTCCCTCTCAAAACATAAGGCTATACCTACTGTTACACACATTTTTGTAATTTTATAGTTGATCATTTTGCATTTCCTCTAAAAACCATTTGCTTTGACTCATAGTTTTTATTATTAAAAAGTTTTGTGATCGCAGCCCATTCTCTGAAACTTTTCCTCACCTAACCTTATGTTAAATGTTCTGCTGAAGTTTACTTTCCCTGAAAACCTATGCCTTCACCCCCAATTTTTATTATTATAAGTTTCACAAAGGTTTTGAGTTTTGTAATTGCATTCATTTACATTATTTACAATTAAGTTTAACAAAACATAATTTTTCCCTGAGAAATTTTAATTAATCGAGTTCTCGTAGATTTCTGTTCCTCTGTAAAGCAGTTTTTACAAGACCTTTTTTATTAATATTATTGAAGGTTTTACAACTTTTGCATTCCTGTGTAAAGTCCAAAACCTTTAGCTTCACTTACTGTACAACTTTTTCTAAGTGTATACCAAATAATCTTGTTTTTTTTTCTTACATAAACAGTATGTTTTAAGATTGATTATTTGCCATAATTATTTTTAAGTAATCAATATTTGTAAGTACAGTACAGTAGATTTGTTTGTAATTTTCTACAAATAAAAACAGCTTGAGTTTCTTTTTGTCAGTGTTTGACCCTTCTCTGTTCATTTACACTGGATACAAAAAAATGAGTGAACTTTTCCCTGAGGCACACCAAACCCTGCATTTTTAAAGACTTTCCTGTGGTGACAATAAAAAATAGATTAGCTCTCTACCCTGGTTGTCGACGCTGCAAATTTTGGCTCTTAGTTCTGGGATCTTGCTGCTCAATCTATCCGGTGACTGGTACATGATGGTGCGCTGAGGGTTCCCTGTGATGTTGTTTATCTCAGCCCTCATGCCTTCTGGCGCTACACCGATGATGAAGATCTCCCTGTCCCGTGCGTACTTCGCTGGCTCCACCACATGATCTGCTGAGGGCGTCCCGGTGAGCAGAACTACCACCCGCGGCAGGTCGTCCTGAACGTCAGCGAACACAGGCGTGCTCTGGAAGCCGTGGCGTGTGATGTAGCGAAGGGCATTTCCGGTTTTCGTCTGCCCACCACGATACTGAAGTCCCTCAACAGCCTGGATCAGCTTCACCGGGTCTCTGTGCTCCCCAATTCTGGCCTCGATCTTCACGTCGCTGCCATACTGGGCCAACCCCATTTTTACAGGAGTGTCAGAGCTCAATACGGCCTGCATGAAACGCTTCAGGAAGGACTTGAATCGCAAGAAACCCTCCAGAGTAAGAGCAGAGGAGCCCTCCAGCAGGAAGAGCACATCCACAGAGCAGTCAAAACTCAGAATGGGAGCTGGAAATGAAAATCAATACAATTAAATATGAGGACATTAGAGACATTTTTGCCTCAGTTTTTATCAACAAGTACAATAATTTCAGCTAAAAAGTTCTTAAATGTTCTACTGAAGACAAAAACATGTGTTCATGTAAATATGTACCACTTGGATGGGCTGAAGGTGAAAAAAAACAGCAAATTGTCATTTTTGGTAGAACTAAACCTTTAACTATCCTTAAAGGGATAGTTTACTCAAAATGAAAATTTACTCACTATTTACTCAAATGAAGATGTTTTAAAGAAAGCTGATGACCTGTACCCATTAACTTCCATAATAAAAAAAATTCTATGGAAACCAATGGTTACAGGTTTCCAGCTTTGGTTACATACCTGTTAGTCTGCATTACATATATCCTGTTTGTTTTAGATTTTAGTTAGAATCATGAGACATTACATTGTTAAAGGAGGAGAAAAGCATAGGAGCTTTAGTCTCCTTTACACATTAACACTTGCTAAAATGCCTTTACAACCAGCCTAAACAAACACAAAGCTCCACATATCCCTCTGCAGGTAAGTGGGGTCATCTGATCTAACCTCTACTTGTGATGTCATTCACATTGATTGACAGCAGGAGGTTAGGTATGTCATCACGTTCTGATTGGATGTAGGATTTAGTGTCCGCATTTCAATAGAACTCATGGGGACCGATGATGGCTCCTGTCTCACAGTGTAATTTAGCAAATGACAAGGCCCATTATAAAAGTGGCAGCGTGTGCATTTGGAGTTTACCTATTGCTAATTTCTTCTATACAGTTATTTCCGATCAGAACCTAAACAAAAACAAAACAAACGTAGACACAAGGACCACATACTGTATTATGTGCCAAAACAGAAATTGCTGTAAGAATATTTATTTTGTAAGAATATTTATATTTTATTACTTTGTTCATAATTAATAATATTTTCTGGACACTCAATTTACACACATTTTTGGGGGGAATCTCCTCATCCACCCCATTTATTATATTATATTATATTATATTATATTATATTATATTATATTATATTATATTAATTTTCCTTCGGCTATGCGCCTTATTTGTCAGCGGTTTGCCACAGTGAAATGAACCACCAACTATGCCAGCATCTGTTTTAAGCAGCGGATGCTTTTCTGGCTGCAACCCAGTACTAGGAAACGCCCATACACTCTCACATTCACACACTCATACACTAGGGCCAATTTAGTTTATCCAATTCACCTATTGCACATGTTTTTGGACTGTGGGGGAAACCGGGAAAAACTCCACACAGAAATGGCAACTGGCCCAGCTGGGACTCAAACCAGCCAACTTCTTGCTGTGAAGCGACTGTTATTATATTATATTATATTATATTATATTATATTATATTATATTATATTATATTATATTATATTATATTATATTATATTATATTATATTATATTATATTATATTATAATTCTGCAATACTGTGTGCTTTTTAATCAGTAAAATATTTATAAAATATTTTTATCAATAATTTCACAGAACAAAGCTGCACATTTGCAAGAAACTGCTGACTTTGGAAACATTTGGATTGCCTTTAGCTAATTAGAGTGTCAACCATGACCCTGCCTGAAAACCGATCCCCACTGTAACTTGAACACCCGTGACAACACCAACACCCACACCCACACACACACCCACACACACACACATCTGATCCAGCCAAACCCACCAAAACAAAATAATCTAAGCGTGAATGTGAGAGAGGGGCAGCTCACCACATGAGAAGAACTGTGGGAGAAGAAGCATATGAATGTGAACTTACCACAATTGGGGTCATTGGCGTAACCAGCAGGACACTCGCACCGGTATTTATCCAGTCCTTCAGAAACACAAGTCCCCCCGTTCTGACAGGGCTGAGAGTCACAGGGGTCTGAAGAGAGATGCTCATTCATATTCATCTGATGATGAGCAATGATATGTTCATTATTCAATATTGAATTTGTGAGCTCTTACCTGGACAAATAGTTCTGTGACAGACAGCAGGGTGTTGCCTGTAAACTTTGTTATATCTGTAAGACAATGTGAAACATGTTTCTTATCAGACATTTCCAATAATAAACATCTGAGGTCATGAAACTTCAAAAAGAATAATTCATTCATTCATTTTCTTTTCGACTTAGGCCCTTCATTAATCTAGGGTCGCCACAGCGGAATGAACCATCAACTTATCCAGCATATATTTTACGCAGTGGACGCCCTTCCAGCTGCAACCCATAACTGGGAAATGAATAATAATAATTATTGTTATTAGTAGTAGTAGTAGAAGTAGTAGTAATAGTAGTAGTACAACAATCAATATCTGTATTTTTATTATAATTTAATAATAATATAATAATAATAATAATATAATAACTATTTTAATATTAATAACAACAATGTACAAATAATAATAATATTGTTGGCAGATTTCTGCTGCATGACAATGTGAAACCAGTTTCACTCCATACATTTGTGTAAATGATCTGCTTAATGGTTCACCTCTGGCCATGAAATCCATGAGTCCCATTCACTTTAAAAGAACAGTAACACCCTTCATGTATACTGTGTATACATGAATATACTCTTCATGACAACTGTGAGTGGGGGTGATCTTTTTTTATAACTCATCAGTTATATGAATATATATCAGTATATTAAGTTAGATTAAGTCTGCCTAATTAAGGGTGTGGGGCGTGACCGCTATGTCTCGCTGGTCTCCGTCACGTCACCTCAGCTGATTCCTGCTGATTAGCCACTGAACTCAGCAAAAAACATTGTATTTTCGTTTTGTTTTATGTGGCTTTACAGAGTCAATTGCTCTTTGGAATTATTTCTTACAATTATCAGATAATATGGCATGCTGTGTGCACTTAATTGTGCTCACAAACCATTCAACGTCAACGTCAACCTTTCCCAGATGAGTGAAATTATATACGTATATACCATCTCTATAAACGTATTTGTTTTACTCAAAATCATTTATCATTTATAATTTTCTTTGATGTGTAATGCACTCCAGAATCTGCCAGATTGATTAGCTGTAGGCTACAGAAAAGTCATCTGAAACGTTGTCATACAGTGTTATGCCTGGATTTCTTAAATAGCCCTGCATTTAGTAACACAGACTCACAATATGATAGTGTGACTATTTTCATAAGTGGGACACTTCAGATACAAAAATGCATTTTATCAGAGAGTATAGGGGGCAATTTTGGACACTGGAGTGCTTGTATATAATAAAAAATCTTTGATTTCTATTACTGCAAGTGAGTAACTGTACATTTTGACTTACTGATAACATTAAAGGGGACCTATTATGCAAAAATTTTTATAAGGAGTTTAAAAACCAAGTTGTGTGGCAACAGTGTGTAAATAAAGCCATCCTCTAATAGTAAAAATTATTCATTTTATTTTTTTATAATCACACTTCATAAAAACAGTTTGCAGAAACACTTTAGCTGTGTCTTATTTCAAAGGCTGTATCCTCCGAAGGATGCATTCAAAGGGTGTTGGGTCAGTGTGACATGACGAAGGCAGTTTCATTTCAGAAGAATTTAAAAAGTTTCCTTCAAATGCAGCCTCAAAATGTGTCCTTCGCTTCCCAGGTAATGAAGGGCACAACCGGTGGATCCTTTGCAGCCTCGAACAGGCAAGGACGGCAGGACATTTTTAAAAGAAAACTCCGGATTAAATGTATCCTTCAGAGTATGCAGCCTCTGAAATGAGACGCAGTTAATTTGATTAACATTCTCCCTCTTTACCTGTCATCAGAGGAGGAAAGCCCCGCCCATTAGTGACGATAGATGACGAACAGCCTTAAGTGACAAGCAGCCATCCATCATTAGAGTTTTAGCAGAAGATAATTTCGAAAATAGGGCTGGGAGCACAATCTCTTGTGAATTTAAAGCGACAGTCACAATAATGGCACAATTTGGATAACAGCCTAAAAGGGGCTGTTTCAAAGAGTTATAAAACATTATTTGTGTGGTATTTTAAGCTGTTACCTCACACCCACACTCTAGGGGGTCACATACACACCCAAAAGGTGCATAGTAGAGTAAGTCTAACATATTAATACTACTATCACCCAAAAACAAGCTTTCATTTTGACTTCAAGGGGACTTTAAAGAAGGTAAAAGGCATACGAAGACCCCTGTTTTTTGTTCTGTATATGTAAGGTTGCCATGTACCTGTAATGAGGGCACAGGGACGTGTATGCAGAGTATCCCTTGGACCCTTTCCAGCAGACAAAGTTTCCCTGAAGCTGTTTGACCGTCTCCAGGGTTTTCTGCACACATGGGTATGACTCCACCTTACAGCCTGCAGGATTCACAGCACAGGAAACTTCACTTAATGTTCATGAACACAAACAGACTGTTGACTGAGTCACTGGTGAGTGTTTTACCTGAAGGAATGGACATGCAGACAGAGGAGGTAGTAAGGCTGGTGAATAATCCATTCACAGCATCACTGAAGTGCTCTGCGAAAAACACGTGAGAGTCCGATGGACCGCTCGCCAATTCACGGAGCTCATCCCATCTTAAGAGAGAAATACAGGACATGATTTTCTATCATAATATGCAGTTAAATACACTATGTTTTAAATGTTTTTCATTTTAATTAAATAAAAAATACTGTTATATCGGTCATCAGTATATTCACAAATTATTAACAATTATAAAACAATTTTGCCTGGTTCTTGAATCTGATTGGCTTATAGTCGTGCGATATTCTGCCATTAACAGCACTCAACCAGCCTCCTCACACTTCGCCCTTGTGTATTACTCCACCCACATACAGCAACAAACAGAGGACAAATATTGACAAATATTCCTACCTTATGTACTTTTGAGGATTTTTTAGTGGAGAATGTAGTTGTTTAGATTGAACTATTTAGTTTATTCATAAGAATGATGAATATTATTTTTAACATTTATAATTTCTGAGAGACAGCTTGTCGGTGGCCATTAGCCTGTCATTGAGCCGACCAAAGACAGTTGACGTTGTTAATCCACAAAATGGCGACAGGCCGCATAATAAGCCCTTATTTCAAATAACAGCTGATCAAATCATTATAATGTGACTAGGTAATGTAAGTGACTTTCTAATGCACCAGTGCCGATATACAGCCACATCACACTGCTACTTGTGTGGTTTGCTAAAATAACTTACTAAATATATTATTAATTTTAATAAGTTAAACTTTATAATATATTATTTAACTGCAATTTATTCCTGTAGTTTTAAAGCTAAAATCTCAGAATCATTACTTTTATTTTAAGTACACATGATCTTTTAGAAATATTTTCGATATTTATATAATGTATTCGAAACATAGTTTATATATTGATTTGCTGACATATTGAAAACAGTTGCACTGCTAAATTTTAAGAAAACCATGCTTTTTTTCTTTATCTCTTTAAAATAATTTTCAAAAACCTATTTAAATACTAAGCAGTAATTTAAAGACTAAAATATTTGTAACATCATAAATGTATTTCCTTTTAATAAATTAACAAGTACTTGCTTAACAATAATATTAGTTTCTTCAAAAGAATGAACTCTATGAAAGAAAAATCCTACACTGCAGCTTTTAGTCCAAATATCAAAACAATTTTTAAATCAAGAAGAATTTTCTAGACAAGCTAAAAAATAATGTCTTGTTTTTAAATAATTATGAGTTTTTCTTTAAAACAAGCAAAATAGTCTGAAAATGGGGTTATCATTTTTTCTCCCTATTGGCAAATATTTTATGGTTGTTTTAATAAAAAGTCACTTAATTTTGACTTATTATTTTTGAAAATAAGACAACATCTTTTGCTTTTATAGTAATTATTAGTGCGTCATGGTGGTAGCATGATCGTCTCATATCAAGAAGATCACTAGTTCGAAACTCGGCTGGGTCAGTTGGTGTTTCTGTGTGGAGTTTGCATGTTCTCCCTGTGTTCGCGTGGATTTCCACTGGATGCTCTGGTTTCCCCCACAGTCCAAACACATGTGCTCTGGGTGAACTGAATAAACTGAATTGTCCGTAGTGTATGTGTGCGAATACGAGAGTTTATGGGGGTTTCACAGGAATGGGTTGCAGCTGGAAGGGCATTCTAAACATATGTTGGAAAAGTTGATGATTCATTCCGTTGTGGCAACCCCAGATTAATAAAGGGACTAAGCCCAAAGAAAATGAATGAATGAATAATTTTCAGATATTTGAACTAGACACAAGACAAAAACTCTGAGTAAGAAAATATATTTTTTTGCAATGTAACCCTAATCCTCACTTTTGAGTAGCAGTGTACTGTACTGTAGTCAATTCCAGGTTTATTTTCCAGAGCATATGGTTCAGTAAAACTGCGTGAAACACTTTGAGATGCCAGAGCATATGGCACAGCAGGAACTGTGAGAGGCTTTCATTCATCCAAATATACTCAAACTGATACATTCCCAGCTGTTAGATATATGGCCATTAAGGTGAGCTTTTCCACTGAGATTCATTCCCTCTTCCTCCTGCACCTGTTGGTAAGCTGCCATAAAGCTTCCAAGTAAACAGAGAAGACAGAAATGATGGTGACCAAAAGCATCAACATGCGTCCAAGCTGTCAGCAGCTTTTAGTGTTCAATCACACACCTGTCAGTGAGCACGGCTCTCCCTGAGAACTGTCAGCACTTCACTTAGCTGACTACATGAGCTCATAATGGTTCAAATATGACCACATGTGTCCATGCTAATTGTTTGTCAGGCTGTAGGGATTTTTATTATACATGACACAGTTAAAGTCAGAATTATTAGCCCTCCTGAATTATTAGCTGCCCTGTATACCCAATTTTTGTTTAACACATTTCTAAACATAATAGTTGTAATAACTCATTTCTAAAAACTGATTTATTTTATCTTTGCCATGATGACAGTAAACAATATTTGACTAGATATTTGTCAAGACACTTCTATACAGCTTAAAGTGACATTTAAAGGCTTAACTAGGTTAATTTAGGCAAGTTAAGATAATTAGGCGAGTCACTGTAAAACAGTGGTTTGTTCTGTAGACAATTGGAAAAATAAATTGCTTAAAGCTACAAATTATTAAGTGCTAATAATATTGTAAAAATTACAAACTGCTTTTATTCTAGCCAAAATAATACAAGTAAGATTTTCTCCTGAAGAAAAAATGTTATAGGAAATACTGCAGAAATTCCTTACTCTGTTAAGCATAACATGGGAAATATTTGAGAAAGAAAAAAAAACTGACAGGAGGGCTAATAATTCTAACTTCAAATGTATTAAATACATTTTAAGTAAGATACGATGATACACTGGAAAATCTCAACGACACCAAACTTTCAATGTTCTTGAAAGTCTAAATGATATAGAACAAAAGTACAGGTACTGTGAGCATATGGTATTATATTTTTAATATAATGTGATGTCATATAAAAAATTTCATACTTATGTTATTCTTTATAGCAGTTTAAAGTATGTTTCCCATACTTTCTAAGAACCATGGTAGCTATTACAGAAGTAAACACTACCATTCTTTCAAACTATTACAGTGAGTACCACATCACTTAGTGCATTATGAAAAACACAAAGTAATTAAGTAATAAAATTCAAATATTATGTCATTATGTCTGGATTTTTTTTGTTGTTGTTGTTTTTTGTTATTATTGATCATTAATATAATTTGTCTGAACATTTTAATTTACTCTTGTCTTTGTTTTGGAAATTCTCAATTTATTATTACTATTATTATTACTATCATTATATTATTATTATTATTATTATTATTATTATTATTATTATTATTATTAAATAAAAATAATAATATAAATCAGGGCTTGACATTAACACCCGCCAGCCCGCCAAATGTGGGTAGATTTCAGCTATGGTGGGTTAGACAGTCACTCACACTAGCTACTTTGGCAGGTTAAAAATGATCTTTTAATGATAGTTTTTTAAAAGCAGGGCTTGACAATAAAGATGGCCCAATCTGCATGCAAATGTGATCTTAAAATAAAGAAGCAGGACGACTGACCAAAATAATGTTCGCACGAGTAAAAGAAAGCAGGTGAATACCAAATGAGAGGATGATCACTCCTGCACACAGCTGATGTGATGCACACGACTGTTTAAAAAGCGTGTGTGCTCCCGTTTCCTTGCTCGAAGCAGCCATGCCCGGAAATGCAACTGTGCAATCGGTTCTCTTGAAATAGACTGAACAAAAAGCGATGCTCATGCACCCACAGTGCTGCTGCTCTCAAGAGCTCCAGATGTTTTTAAAAATGTATTTTTGCAACCAACACCAGTTGCCACTTTTGCTTTAACCCTTCTTTGAACAGATTATTATTGGCCTAACCATTTGCACGCGATCATATTTCTACTACTTAACATTAATTTGTCATATTGAAGAAATTAATTAAGTGCAATTCTTTAATCACTTAATATCCCTTAATTATAAAAATACTCAAAAATAATTCCATAATTGATAATGACTGGATTAGCCTCAAGAAATAGTACATTTTATTTAGCTTGAAGGAAATGATATCTATTCTTTTAGACATTTGACAGTGGAGTATTTTGTTGACAGAGTTTGAAGAAGCAGGTAATTAGAGATGTGAGGGTTTTTTCTGTGTGAAGTGAGTGTAAATGATGAGTGTTACCTGGGGTAGCGAATCCCCACAGCAAACAGAAGCACTCCAGACAGCTTGAGCTCAGAGGCAGGCAGCTGCACGGCCCCCTGGGACTTTCCGTCAGATAACAGGACGACGACTCGCGGCACAGAGGAATTACGTCCACCGGAAAACCCCTTCCTCAAAACAAACTTCAGAGCCAGACCTGTCTGTGTGCTTCCACCTCTAAAGCAGGAGAACACACACGTTATACATAGAGCTTTTAACACATGAACACAAATAATGTCATAATGAACTACTAATGTGACATCATCATCATCCAATTTTTGTTACTAAACTTTGTCAGTCTCCGGGATTTCACAAGACATTTTTTCATGCTTAAATGACTGTAAAAACATACACAAAAACTTTTACAATTTCTTTAATTTTATCACCTCAAGAACCACCGAGCTCTGTCATTTACTGTATATAAAGGTGGTCTATTCTAGTGGATTGAGATCTTGTAACTGTGGAGGTCATTTGAGTACAGTGAACTCATTGTCATGTTCATGAAACCAGCCTGAGATGCTTCATGCTTTATGACATGGTGCGTTATCCTGCTGGAAGTAGCCATCAGAAGATTTTCCTCTGACCTCTGGCATAAAAAAGGCATTTGTGCCAACCGAACTGCCGTTCACGGGATATTTCCTCTTTTTCAGACCATTCTCCGTAAACCCTAGAGATGGTTGAGCATGAAATTCCCAGTAGATCAGCAGTTTCTAAATTACTAAGACTAGCCTGTCTGGCACCAACAACCACGGCACATTCAAAGTCAATCAAATCACCTTTCCTCCCCATTCTGATGCTTGGTTTGAATTGCAGCAGATCATATTGACCATGTCTACATGCCTAAATGCATTGAGTGGCTGCCATATGATTGGCTGATTAGAAATTTGCATTACCAAGCAGTTGGACAGGTGTACCTAATAAAGTGGCCGGTGAGTGTAAATAGCCAGTAGTTTCAGTACAATTTTTATATTTTAAATTAATGAAAAATTGTACAAAAGCACGCACAACCCTCTTAACTGGGTGCTCAGCCAAAAAACGCAAAAGGTGCAAATTAAATAAAGGTGTTCCGCATTTGAAGAATATTTAGATTTTAAATTAATAATTATTTATTTTTACCTCAAGAACCATCGGTCACTGTGTTTTTTTAGAAAGGAAACAGAATTAGAGATCTTTTTAAAGCGTTAAAAAGAATATTTAAGCCTATTATATCCTACGACCCATTGTAAAGCATAGTACGTCTGCACTGCGGATTGCCCAACACAGTTTCAATTACAGATTCTTCTTACTAAAGTTAAAATACTGGAAGATTTAATGCAATAATAAATATTTTACATGGACTTTATGCAAGTTCTGTAGTCTACTTATACTGTGAAAATACAATAAATTTACATTTGTGTTAAATTACTATAGTTTTTGCCCGGTTTGAGCAACTAAGTAAAATAGCCTTTTTAAACATATTTTCAATGCAGTTATATGGCCTATTAAACCTGGTGTCATTATAATGTAATAATAATAATAATAAAACTGTACATATCTGTAATAATAAGGTAGCAGAACACTTTGAGTTTTGGCAGAGATATCCACAGTCACGCTGAAGACGACAATCTGACAGAGGGTGCTTCTTCTCTAATCTCTTATTAATTTAACCACAGTGGCCCCTCTGAAGTTTTAGCGAAACACAGAACCCTTTAGTTCTTCTTTATGCGCTCTGTCCTTAATGCACCTCGAACGATGAAACCTAAACCAGTTCTGGCATTCTCAAGTTGACAGTGAATGCTGCTTTATTTTCTTTGGAGTTGATTCAAACTAAATTTCCTTGTTTTTGGTGGCATTGCATTCTGTGTACTTCATAAATGAACATTTCATAAAGTTACAGTGTAGAGTTAATGGTTAGATGGAAACACTGTATGTAATCAAAAATTCATTTAAAGTTATTAATAAATGGTTTAGTGGTTTTCGGATTTATGAAAATGGTGTTTTTAAGTATAAAATAAAACAATGTGAATATTTGTAAAAGTACAACTCATACATTTAAATAAAAAGACATAACTTAATTTTAATTTGATAAATAATGATAATAAAAAGGTTACAAAAAAAAAGAAAATAAATAAAGTTAGATATGATAAAGTCGCAAGAGGGCGCACATTAACAACAAACAATAGCTTATTTGGAAGATCCCGATTGTCTTCTTTCAAATTTAAAACAAGATCGCTAAAACAATTAGAGAGATAAGTGCAAGGCAGGAAAGCAGTGAAGCTTTTATTATACCAAAGTCGACCGCAGTGTTCCAGTCATGATCCTGAGGGGAAGAAGGAGCACTGATTTATCATACTAAATGCATGTTAAGGTTTGGTTATAATTGTGCTTTGTGCAGGCTAATAAAACGCACAACATATTAAAGTGTCTTTGCTGTTTTCGTTTTCTATAAAACCAAACGAGAAATCGAGAGTGTGTGACCTCAGTAGCATGGTAACACGAGACACAATATAACTCAGTGGTTAAAACAGCTCGTTTCTCTGGATTTGATTCAAGGAAATTCTAAATAAAGTTTATAAATACAGTATATGACCTTTTTAAACTATAGTATAACAGCTACTATACCTTTTTTCTCCAATTACAATACTTCTTTATCCAATGCTGATATGCAAAATCTCCTGCTTTCCTTAGGGAAACTGACTGAGTGCCAGCAGAGGCACATTCATGAGCACAGCTGGCCTTCACTCTATCATCTTCAATCACAGTTGTTCAGACAGACAGACAAGTGCTGATATTTTCATTGAGTGGGAATGTGAAACGGTAATTTCACAGTATGTCGAGGGGTGATTTGGTATGTCCTGAATGGGTGATGAGGTTTAGGCCAGCTGTGTGTCATTCAGCTACAAGTCACCACAGTACCAGCACTCTCTTTACCACAAAACAACATTAATTCAACCTCATCAATCAGGTCCATCATGACACACGCTGAGAGGGAGTAAACAAAGCCCCATATGTGTGTGTGTAGATATAGACATTTCTCCTGCTCCACAGGAAGACACACAATAACACTAATCTCTGTACCTATAGTGGATTTTCTTCAGCTTTTTCTTCAGCTCTTCCTTGGTTTTGTAGGAGTCTAGACTGACTTCCAGTTTGGGTGTGGAACCAAACTGAACCACGCCAACTCTTACCTACACAAAATCGACAACAAACAGGAAACAGGAAATGTCACTGTTCTGCCTGATGACACCAAAACTGTTGTAAACAGTAAACAGTAAACAGTCCCAATAAACAAAGTAATAGTTCACAGACAATAATAAATCGAAACAAAATAAAAACCATGATTTAGAAAAAGCTGTGATTTTCATGAACACCTTGTCCGAAAAATCACGGCTCTGTGATCAGTAGTAAATCCAAAGACATGAGGATGCTCTCTAGTCAAAAATAAACTTTAATTTTCCTTTATACTTTTCACTCTGTATTGATAAAATTTACTACCCTTTCGTTATGTTTGTGGCTGTTTTTACCCCCTTTTTATCAGGTATCACTTAATTGTGCCCCATTATAGTCATGCATTCTTGATTGTTGGTGGTTTTCTCTGTTAGGAAGAGGTAAAATGTGTAATTTACTGATGATCATCAGTTGGCAGCAATAACTCTTTAGATAGGCCTGTGCAACAAACATTTCTGGCTTTTATATAGAGTTCTATGGAGTAAAACAGCAAATTATAGTGTGCGGTATTTCTTTCTGAGAAAGCTTTTTTTCCACTGCAACTGATAATCAACAATAAAAATGTAAAAACAATTACATTTTCCCAACTGGTAAAACCAGCCACAATCAAGAAAGCATGATTATATGGTGTCATGGCTTTGCAATTAAAACATGTCATTATAATGGAAGTCAATGTGGCAAAAACAGACACTAACATAAGGAAAGGGTAATAAATTTGTATAAAAAATGTATTGTTGATTTTTTTTTTCAAAGCATTTTCCCAAAATATGTGTCAACATAAGATTTTTCACCAAAAATCATTCCATTTGCTAAATCACAGAGAAAGTTGTGGCTAAATTAAGACTCAAAATCACCCCAGAGTTGATGAAAATATCTCCAACAGCACACAAGAGTTAACATTCTAACATTAACACTGTTAATGTTTTATGTTGATTTATGTTGAACAGAAAACTACTTAAGGTTTGGTAACACTTAAGAAACACATTTTTCGGTGAACATTCCCTTTAGGGGGACCCTTTAATGAACCCTTTTTACATTTCCGAGTTTCTCAGCAGCAGAATTCGTTATAGTTGGTGAATGAGAAAGTCCAAGAAATTATTTTTTACAAAACTATTTGCTGAAATAAAAGAAAAACTCCATGATGGTGTTATCAAGACTTTCAAAGAAAGGAAAAAATACTGTGAAACTGATAACTTTAGCCAAAAGAAAGAACAACGTTCATTTTTTGTCGTTTGATTTTCTCAAAGATTTAAAATGTTGATGAAAGTTGAACGCACCATAGCAGGCTTGTGATAAGGGTCCTTAAGTGAAAAGCAAAATTAAGTTTGCCCATTTGTTTTGCCCACTCCACAAAAAAATGATCCAAACCATGACTAGTAAGTCTTGTGATCGGTCTAGTACGTATTCATTGAATCCAATATTGTTTTTTAAAGAGTATACAAAATTCATAAATGGAAACTACAACATATTGCACTGAAACAAATACAGAAAGAACACATGCTGATATTTTTTTTTTTTTAATTCTGGGTGAACTTTTCCATCTAAAATAGACTTTATCCAGTCTGACCTTGTCTTGGCGGACATCAAGAGCCTCACAAAGCTTCAACATGTAGTGTCGGGATCTCTCAAACCCTCCTTTTCCAACACTGTATGAACTATCCATCACAAAGAGGATATCCATGGCTGCAGAGCACTGCATCACTGACCAAGCACAAGAGAAAACAAAGCTTACTCCATATTTGGCAACTGAATGGTCAATAATGAAAAGTTAAGAGTTTTCAGATGAAACAATACTTAGGCGGTAGGGCAAAAAGCAACACTTGACACAAACGATGGCCTGTGTTTGACACATTTTAAGAGCTCAAAGGTCGCCCGTGGCATGTTCTAGCAAAGATAAATACTCACAAACACATTACAGCAAGTTTGTGCTAGTCAAGCGGCTAAATTATAATCCATGTAGCTGTCATGTTAGAACCCGCCGTCTGTCATAAAGAAGGTGATTAGACAGAGACGGCACGCCGCTGTCTGCAACAGCACACGCACACTTTTAGGTGTGAGAGTGAGAACAACCATTTTTTTTGCTTGGCTAAATTTAATGTCTAAAAGAAAGGGTTTAGCTAACCTCTCGATATATATAACCATTATCGGTACCACTTATTGTTTCGGTACTTTAACGGTTCCCGTAATAGTACTTTTTGAAGTGTTTTTTTATGAAAGAAAAAAAAACGAATTGAACAGAATTATCAACACTTTATTTTATATTAAAATTGTAATAATAAAATCAAACAAAACCAATAATTTTAAAACAAATAAATATTTTTTTTTCTGTAAAAGAACATACAATGGTTTGAAGAAAACTCACTCTCAGTTTTTAACCTTTCTTCTGGAGAAAAATCAACATGTTTGCCTTTTCTGGCAGAAGTTGGCATCTTTTTTTTTTTTTTTTTTTTTTGTGCTCCTTGCAGTTTAAAATAGCCTCTTTGAGTTGCAAAACACAATTAAATGAGTTCATGTTTATGATTTTTCATTAACACATACACATAAATGAGTTAACCATGTTTTGGGAGTTACCTGTGTTTACTAAACAGTTTTGGAGCATCATGCAATGTAAAAACAAGCTGGTTTTTTTTATATATATATATATATATATATATATATATATATATATATATATATATATATATATATCGGTTTTGTGTCGCGAGCTACGTGCACACAGCCGAGAATTGTGAAGGCTTTTATGCTTGACGCACCAACTGTGCTGACGGATATCAAATATTATTAAATATATAAATATCAGATAGCAAATTACTGAGTTTTGGTACCCATCCCTAGTACACAGACACACATTCACACTAGCATTAGATCAAAAATTCTTTATTCAGACAGTGACTACATTTACATGGACATCAGTAATCAAATTATTTGCCCTAATTTGAATAAGACAATGATATGATTAAGATGTTTACATGAGTTGCTTTTTGAATGTTCCTTTCATCATTCCATTTTACATGTTATAGCATATAGTTAGATTAATCTCATTGCATCAACACACTATTCATGCTTCCTCCAGAGTTTCATGTAATTTTGGGTGTTTAATGCAGTTTAATGGCAGTTTTACTTTTATTTAGGAACACTTCATTCATGCCCCCACATGACAAACTGATGTATTGGATGTGCGAATGAAGTAAGGACAAGTGGAAGAGTGTTGTTTTAATAGAATTTGATCCCGCACGCCCAATGTTCCTTCGCTGACTCGGTAGTTGCAGAGAATAGTGTTGAACAGCCGTGTTTGTATAGAATATCCTGTCACAAACCGCAGCAACAAGTCTTCCATGACTGTAATATTTACAGCGTTTATATGTCTGTGCTGCACTGCAATAATGTGACTAAAATCGGCATACTCCACATGATTTAATTCAATTTCTGTTTAGTTCGATTATGACCTTAATCTGATTAAATAAATCAAAAATTACATGGTAGACTCTTAATCAGAGTGTTGTCTTAATCGTATTAAAATCGGATTATTGGTGTCCATGTAAACATACTCATTGATGAACACAACTCATTGCTTTCAAGTCCAAAACTCACTTTCTCCAGCAGCGTTGATCTTCATAATGGTGTCAAGATCCGTTTGTATTTCTTGCACAGAGAAAATGGACCAAACTTTAAAGAAAGAAATACTGTAGTTAGTAGAGTTTGTAGATTAACACCCAAACTAAACGTGATATATCTTTACAATAAAATAATATATATGTATCCAGAGAGGACACGGAGCAAATAAATGAATTAATAAATGAATGAAAAAAATAAAATTTAATCACCCATTTTATATAAGACTCTTTTAAAAAGATATTTCTATTCCATTAAGAAACTGTAGAGGACAGTATATATCAGAAATTTTGCAAACAAACTAAATAAATAAATAAATAAAATTAGATGTCTGTCAAAAAAAGTTACAACTGTTTTTTACAAACAGTAAAGTTTATAACAATAAAGCATTAGCCTCGATTCTTGTAAATACTCTTTACGGTTTAAGTATATAAATGGTAAAACATGTATTAAAAATTTTTTTAAATGTAAACAAACAAAGTAATACTGCAAAATAATCAAAAGAAAAAAAAACTTTAAACTTTAAAAATGAAATCCGTTTGTGCCAAATGCCTAGTGGTTAAGTTTGATTTCCAGCTCAATGTCCTTTGCTGACCCTTTCCCTCTCTCTGCTCCACCTCCACTGTCCTATCCCAATTAAAGATGAAAAACCCTAAAAACAAATTATACTATAATTAATAATTAATTATAAATATATATTATAATATATATATATATATATATATATATATATATATATATATATATATATATTTTACAATTTTAGAAGTTTACAATATATGGTTAAAACAACTAAGCACCTACCCCAACCCTAGTAAATCTCATTATTGTAACAGAAGTTGTGTTACTTAATTTAGCATTTATAAATCTTGAAAGAATTTCATGCAGGTTTTTTTTTTTCATTTGTTTGGTTTATATTAAATATTTGAAATCAATCAATCAATCAATCAATCTCCTATTTTCTAGATGACATTTTCAAAAAGACAATTCTGTTCTAATATAAATACCTCAGATGAAAGTGTACTTCAATAATGTAATTAATTAAACATACAATTAAAAATATTCAAAGTAAAAAGGCAGTAAGGTAGGCAGAACAGAACTTCTCGGATCCTGGAAAAATGTTCGGGTGAAGTATGACCTTTACACGTTTTTGCTGATACAGGCTCAGGCAGTCCCTCAGGCTCAATCAGAGTCAACAATACGTTACACAAACGAGTCATTAGAGCCCAGCTCCTAGATAGCTGATCTGACCCCTGCCCTTAAGACACGGCTCTGTGTGGAGTTTACTATTAGCATCCTGCAGAGGAGAATAACTCAGAAACACTGGCATTCCAGCAACGCCCACTGGATGTAAAGAGAGCGGTCAGACTGTCCCGGCCCGTGTTTCATGCTCGAGTGAGCAGAGCGGCGTGCGCTCTCATGCGGGCGGATGCTGATTGAGAGAACAGCCCAAGCAACCCATTACAATGGCAGTAAATCATTTGCATATGTAACCAATTTTTAGATTGCTGCGACTCAATAAGGTCTAAATAATGTCTTATATTTTGTATGCAACTGAACAGGCTGACTGAGGGCTTGAAGATCAGTGAAATTAAAATAATGCTTTTTAGATGTTATTATAGGTATCGGTTAGTCTTAAGGATATCTATTGGTGTATTCACGTTTAGAAGATAAAAAAATTAATTATATAGACATCTAAAGTTTGCAGTTTGTCACTTTCATCTAAATCTGAGATGCTCAAAGTAGAGCCCGCAGGCCAAAGTTGGTAACCTTTTATTTGGCCCGCCCTCCAAGAGAGAAGAGAGAATGATGTGAAGGTTGGGGCAATGCCTTTAACAGAGATCGTCATTTATAATTTAAATGTAACAATTTTTTTTGGTTTGTTTAATTGTTGAGCTCCAAAAAAAGCCAACTGAAATAAAATGTTTTAATTATTCATTCATTCATTTTCTTTTCGGCTTAGTTCCTTTATTAATCCGGGGTCGCCACAGCAGAATGAACAGCCAATGTTTCAATTAAATGTTGAAATTTTTTTAATGTAAATGTCACTCACAGATGGAGGATGCACAATGCACAAGGTGATGCAGACTCATGTATTCAGCATTGAACACCATTGTGTGATAAATGTGTTTATGTTTTTATTGAAATAAGTTCATTATAAAATGTAAAAAAAAAAAAAAAAAAAAAAAAATATATATATATATATATATATATATATATATATATATATATATATATATATATATATATATATATTAATGCGATTAAAGTATTGTTACATTTCAGAAAGAAATAATTATTTGTTCATTTATTTTATTAATAATTCATATTATGTATTTTGTTTATGCATCTGGAGCTGATGTTGTGTTGCGCGGTGTGGAGCATGTGCAGGTCTCACTCTCTCTCTCCCTCTAGAGCTGCGCTTGATTGGGGTCCAGCTGTGTTGTGAGTGGGGGCATATATAAGCGGAGGAGAGGAAAAAAGGACTGATCTTTCTGCTCGGTGAAGGTCGAAAATCTCCATCGTCGTTGCTGCCGCTGTTGTTCCGAGCATCTCCTATCTCCTGCCCCAGATTATTTGTTGCACTACTGTGGTGTGATTGACTGATTCTGTTAGCTGACAACTCTTTATTTCTTTACTAACTGCTCGCAGTATTTCATCTGAACCTTTTTGCATTGTTTTCACTTATTAAAACTATATTATTTTTGGATAATTGAAACTGTAGGTTGTGAATCGCCATTTACTTTTAAAACCCGTTTTCTCCTGGTTTGTGGCAGCGAGGGAGAAAGGGAAGTTTGCTGTAATTTTTTTTGAGGTACTTTATTTTAGCATGCAAGTTAGGATTATTTCCCCGCAAATTAGCTGTCTTTTTGTTTGTTGTTTCGGCCTGGATTCCCTTCAGAGATCTTTATTGTTAAAAAAATAAACCTTGTTATTCCTTGATGAAGGAAAGGTTGTGATTATTGTTAGCTGGGACAGGAGGAGGGGAAAACCCTACATTTATTATTTAAAAAATTATTTAAATTCATTATTTTTTTGTTATTGTTCCCTTTAACCCTAGACTGGTCAAGACGTAACAGTATTTTCTATTTATTTTTAAACATAAATACATTAGGAAATTACCATTGCAGATTTATTGGCATTGTATATGTTTATTTTATATTAACCTTCGGCCCTCAATCAAATTTGGCTTTTGGCCCCTCATAAAAAAAAAAGTTTTGGCCCTACTGGTCTAAACTGATCAATATTTTTTTAATTCACATCACCTCATAATTGAGTTTCTCATCAAATAGTGACCAAACAAATGCTCTCTAGAATCTGACATGCTCTGAAGTCCTGCAAAATGCTCCTGTGGTGTGGAGTGTGCTTGAGAATCACATACTTCAATCATGGTCTTTGTCTACTAACACTCGTGGTATCATGAGGAGCACCTCACCATGGTAACAGGCCTCGGCTTCAAAAACCCGCAGAGTCAATGAGGAGCTCAGGTCTTCTGGACAAAATAATGAGGCTACAAAACTGCTAATGGTTTAATACCACCAATGGAATAGAAATCTGAAAGCCCGCAGTTCTTTTTTTAAGTCATAAAAAGTCTTGTGATAACCCCAGTAACACTCCAGGGTTTTTCTGAGGATTTCAAGAGTGTCTTATAAAGGGTTAAAATCTTACAAAAAGACAGACAGACAGACAGACAGACAGACAGACAGACAGACAGACAGACAGATAGAGTTTCTGTATTTTGTGATTTTTACGGTCATGAATTGCATTTTGGGATGTTGATCTCTCCTCTGTTGAGTTTTGATGTTGAAAATTCAACTCTACATCTTAATAAAGTGACATTTATTGACATTTTAGTAGTTTAAAATATTACAGTAATAAACAATATATAGAGAAGTCTGTAAAATAACAGAAAATGTAAATAAACTGTAGTTTAGTACAAGGTTTTTGTATCATTATATACACAACAACGACCCAGACAATATAGCTCTTTAATCTAGAAAAACGTTAATAAAAGTCAATTTTTTTTACTTTCCAAGGTTAAAAGTTGTTGGAAGAAAGATTATGGTCCCATAATGCAATTAAAAAGCATAAATAAACGGAAAATAAAAAAAATGAATCACAAAATACGCAAAACTGCTAATTTACAGATTTTTAAAGAGTAAGAAGATCTAAAACTTCTGCACAAATTCTGCACAAGATCTGTTCCCTTTGATTAATTTTCTAACACGAAATAACACATTTAGGATCAGAAGTCATTTTAGATGGCTGCAGATGATTTTTGCTCTCATTTAAAACATACATACAATATTTTTACAAAAAATAATCGGTAACACTTTACCATAAGGTTCATTAGGTAATGCATTTACTAACATGAACTAATCATGAACAACACATGTACAGCATTTATTAATCATAATTGAACATTTACTAATGCATTATTAACATCCAAGTCCATGTTTTTTAACATTAGTTAATGAACCATGAGTTAACAGGAACTAACAATGAACTACTGTATTTTCGTTAACTAGCATGAACAAATATAGTAGTAAATGTATTGTTCACTGTTTGTTCATGTTAGTAAATGCATTAATTAACATTAACTAATGAACCTTATTGTAAAGTGTGACCAAATAATCATTTAGGTTTGAACTAGTTTAAAGTTTGATGCATCAAAATTATTATGAAATGATACACATTTAACTGTGCTTAGAGAAAAGGACCGTTACAGCAGCTTATTTTGATATGAAAGATGACGGTATCAGTGATGTATGGCTCTGTAATGTATGGCAAGGTCACAGTGAATCTCTCTTAAACCCTCTGGGGATTCTTTCTGACAGAATGTGGAATCGGGACACATTTTATAGGGCTGAAAGACTAAATCCCTCCTGATATTTATGGCATATGTCCAAGTTTGTAATGGGAAAATACTTGAGGAACACATACATAGATATCTCAATTAAAAAACATCACAACAAAGAGAAATGAAGTTCTAGCCTTAGAGGACAGATAATATAATAATTATAATAATAGTAATAAAGTAAATGTAATAAAAAAGAAACATCAGTTAAAAACACATATTGCAATATACAGTGCTCAGCTGCAGCATAAATAAGTACACCCCATTTTTAAAATGAATTTTGAATATAGGCAACATATTTTGGTGCATTTAAACAATGCAAATATATTAAACAAATATATTTATTAAAATAATATCTTAGTTATCAAATATTTTTAGAAATAGAAAGATAAAACATTTAAATTCAAGAAAAATATTGCAAAATAAATATTTACAATCTAGAAAATTTCAAGTAAATTGTATAGATTTTTTTGCTTCTCTTGATGTTTCCACTTTTTATTTAATATTTTTACCTAACATATATTTGGATGTACTTATTTTTGGACTGTTATCGTAGGTTGTTTTGTCAGATTAGCTGCAGTTTTGGCTTTCGTATTTGCTAACCTAAGGTATATGAACAAATATAATATAGTATACTATTGAAAATATACATTTATATTTAATAAATATTTAATTCTGTGAAATTGCATTTAAAGAATTTTCACAAATGCTTAATAAAATGGCAAAAACATTTCAAATATTTTAAATATTTCAAATAAGACTTTGCTATTTGTAAAATTAAATTAAATTAAATTAAATTATTAAAATGTTGTCTCTTACCCTGTCCAAACAGAAGCATGAAAAATAGATTTTGCCGGCTGCTTGAAGACATTTTTGTGCCCTGAAATAAGAACAAAACAAAAATCAATTAAAACAGGGCAAACAGTCTTGCAGGAAGTCTTTGAAGAAGCCAACTACTGAGCAGCTCTCCCCAAAATGAAAAAAAGGCTCGGAGAATGCTAACAAAGCAGCTGTGAGAGACACTATGAGGGGAAACAGATTTAGGACAGAAAGATTTCTTGGAATTTGGTGGGCTTAAGGTTAGAGGGGCAACAGTTTTTACCGACCCTTAGGGGCACCGGCTGAACAAACTAGGAGCATAGGATGGTAAAGAGCGAAGCTGACCATCTATTTTGAGATCAAACACAACCGACGAATAATGGCTGAGAAAAATGCACCATAAAATGACCATCACTACAATTTAAGGGGCCACTGATCAAAATTCCTTTTGGGTGGGCCGGTCTCTCCTTTAAGCCCAATAAGTAAGCATTACAAGGCCCCAAATTAAGATCAAAATCATGCCTAAGCCAGTCAAACTGTCGTCACGTCTGACTAATCATTTACTCATCTGTGTTCTGAGAAAAGTGGAGGGAGAGTCTGGTGATGTGTGGAGGAAACAGCATGATACTCTTCATCTCAGATTAAGTAATACTCCTGTGCCACTTTCCCAGAGCTCAAGGTCAAAGTTCACCTCTTTAAGAGGCAAACTTTATTATTAAATTAAACATGCTGACAAATGGATACTGGCTCCACCAGACAGGGGGAATTATTTATCGCCACGGGTCAGTGGACACAATCTCAACACCTACCTGTTCTGCTCTGCAATTAAACTCACACACGGGTCTGAAATCAACACTGTTTAAAGAAAAGACCTAGATCATGCTCAGACTGCGAGAATTATCTGCTCGGTTTCTAATGAATTGTGCATTACCCACAGCTTGAATGAAAGAATTTAATACTTATCCACAAGCAAGAACTAATTCGTTAGATCGAAAGTGACATTAATGACATTTATGAAGAAGCCAAATATTATTAAAATTAAGGTACAAAAACTGTAGACTGTATATTGTACATCATGGTTTCCACCAAGTTGTAAGCTGCTCGAATAAAATCTGATTTAATCGCAAATAGGACTACTAGAACAACACATTTTACAATGTGCAAAAATAAATAAATCACATTTGTGTGAAAAAAACTTCTGTTCTACAATTAAAGTCAAGCAACTATCCAAAATCAAGATAGAAGGGGCTTAAATGAGTTACACTCTAATAAAAGGTGGTTTATTTCAACCCAATATGGGGTAAATCCAACTTTTACGTTTTTATATTAAATTTAAAATGCCAAATTTAACCTTATGTTTGGGTTTGAAACTATAATGGATGTAATTGGACTGATATGGAAGCTACTTATTTTCTCATTTATTTTTATGCTGATTTAAATCCTGATAATGCAAAACACAATCTCACAGCATTTTGTAGCATTTAGATTTAGTGGTTAATTCATATGAATTCGTACAATCTCATTTTTACAATTGAGTACGATATTCAAAAATCAAGAGACTCAAATCAGCAACCTTCTTGCTGTGAATCGATCGCGCTACCCACTGCGCCAGTGGGGGAAACCGGAGCTGCCAGAGGAAACCCACGCGAATGCAGGGAGAAAATGCAAACTCCACACAGAAACGGCAACTGACCCAGCCGAGGCTCGAACCAGCGACCTTCTTGCTGTGAGGCAACAGCACTACCTACTGCGCCACTGCGTCACCCTTACGGCTAATTTAGTTTACATAATTCACCTACAGATGCCTATAGCTATTTACCATGTTTTTGGACTGTGGGAGAAACCCACAAGAACAAGAGAGAACATGCAAACTCCACACAGAAACGCCAACTGGCCCAGCCAGGACTTAAACCAGCGACTTTCTTACTATGAGGAGACAGTGCTAACAACAGAGCCACCGTGTCAAATACAGAGCAGCATTAAATCTAGTTTTATATTAAAGCTTATATTTAGTAGGTGAAAACTGTCACGATAATCAGTGATCTAGCCCTTGTATATCGCTGGAAACACTATCTGCCGAACTACAATTCTGCCAACAATCTGCACTACATTCCCCATCAGGCACCTCATTCGCACACCAGTTCTGGATCATCCCTGATTACATAAACACAGCAGGAAGCTCATCATGGACTGATATCTTGGACTATTTATACACCACACTTGCACACACACACTGCTGAGTCTTGTTTACCTGTAACTAGGCTTGTGCGGTAATACGGTAATATGGTATACCGCGGGATGTAAAAATAGCAATGGTGTCAATTTCAATACCGTTATACCATCATAAAAACAATGCACTTATATAGGAGACAAGTATTACATAATAATAAATATTATTTATTTAATGCATACAAATGGGTATGCGTGATTGTCATCAAGGGACAGTGTGGAGGAGAGAGAGAGAGAGAGGTAAGATTGCGAGTCACGCACCAAGTGACCGGCAGTTTGCCAGTATTTTCGTTTTCCACCGAACGAGAAGGAGACGTGGTAAATACGAACTAGAGGTCTGCATTCCGAATAAATTTCCAAATAAAGCGCGGAAGCGGTCGGTAACTCTGATGTAATTTGAAAGGGAGCGGGCGTACGATCTAACAATATCGCTCCCGACTAAGGGAGAACGCGCGCATCCACGAGGATGCTGTTTATGTGTGTGTGTGAATGAGAGAGAGTGAGAGAGAGAGAGAGAGAGCGTGGTACTGTGCGTCGCTTGGTGCTGTCTCTCTCTCTCTGTGTGCGGCCGTGTGTGTGTGAATGAGAGAGAGCCTCCTGCGCAGCTACAAGACAAACAGGTGACCACGAACCTATGGTCACATATACGGTATTCAGTTTCTGAATGGTTTAGGCACAAGCCAACAGTTTGGTGACGCTGTCTGAGCCTTGTCATAATTTTTTTTTTATTATGCACAGTAATACTGAATACCAAGGAGAAATAGGGAGGAGGTTTGATGATGGTATCAAAATTTGGATACCGCCCAAGCCTACCTGTAACATTACTAAGCATTATTCCTGTCTAGTCTTTCTGTGTTTCATGACCCCAGCATTGTTTCCTCGTTTATGTTATCGCCGACCTGATTGCCTGAGACTTGATTACGCTTCTGAATTACCTTCATGCTATACTGTTTGTACCTGTTGACCATTGCCTGCCGGACAATTCTCCGTTTACTAAACTGCACATGGATCCTCAACTCCGTTTTCTAGCATTCCATCAGTTACAAAAACAAAATAAGTGAGGTAGTATGTCTAAATTCACAACACTCATAAAAGAGGCTGTGTTGTTTGAATCCAGGTTTGGAACAAATAAGGACGAACACAATGTTGTTGTTGTTTTTAAAGCAAATTTAAATAGCATTTTTTAAACTAAACTGTTGGGTTTGGTCATATTTGACAAGTTAAAACAACCCAGCATTTTGCCAATGAGGCCTACAGTACTACTGAAAATATTTGCAGAATGTGCATATTTAGATCACAGGAAAGAAATGTCAAAATTTAAACATTTTAATGACATCTGAGAGGTATTCTTCCAAAGAAAAGCCAGTCAAAAATAAATCTATGTCCCAATTATTATATATTTAAAGGCATCATAAAATTAATCCACCTGAATAGTGTTTTAATCTCAAAGTTATTAGTTTGATGCTGTTAAAGTTTGATTTTCTAAACTTTAAGTGGAGGAATATACAATTCTCTGAATCCTTTAAAATATTCAACTTGTGTTCCAAAGACAAATCAAAATGAACAGAAGGATAATTAAAAAGCTATTCCAGCAAAGACAGTTTTTGAACCTCCCTGAATGTATAGTCTTTCTGCCTGATATTGGCAGATAACAGTATTTGAAGTCTATATATGATCAGATCTACATCCAGGATTACAATCATCCAGTACTGGTGTGAATGTGGTGGAATCTTTTCTTTAAACGTGTTAGAGAGAGACATTTAAAGAGCACAATTAAAATGTGTGTGTGCTGTGTGTGTGTGTGTTATGTCTACACTGTTGAATCTGATTGGTCAGGTTCCAGGTGTTAAGAGAAGTTAAAAGCTTTGGAAAGAAACGAAGTGACTCTTGAGGTGATTGTGAACCTTGAAGTCATTCTTTGATGGTCTCACTCATGGCTGCATTTCTAAACATACCCATAGAGCGCCACACAAAAGGAAGAAACATTAGGAACGCCAACTGCTATTCCTAAAGATCCAATCTATTTGGTAAAGAATAAATCCAGCAAACTGAGAGAAAGAGATTTTTGAACAATTCGGGCACAGAGGAGTCTTTTTTAAACGTATAGTTGTCAAAGGAAACTGATAATATCTTTCCCTGATAAGGTGCATTTCCTGCCGCAGTGAGTGAGCAGCAGGAAGCAGACAACACTTGTTCAGGTGCCATTTAAGAGAACCTTCTTCAAGGCTGATAATCATCTGGACTCACAAACTTGCCATATGATAACCTTGACTAAGAACTCGTCTCGGTCTGTGTAACAAGTGGAGCCGTCTAGAGCCAGATCAACCCAGGAAGAGCCCTGGATCTGCTTCCTAATTCTGCTTTATTCACAATTTCATACATTCCTCACTGGTCTAAGCTTTCACTTTAATTATTTCCTACTTTAGCGGTGAACAACAACTTGCTCAAGATGCCCTGACAGCGATGTTTTCAATCTTTAACATGTGATGGACCGCAAATGTGATCATCTTTTTGTGTGAGGAGGTACCTTATCCTTAAATCAAGTATGTGGTATTTAAGTTTAAGGATTATTAAAATAGACTGAGTAAAATATAAACTATTAAAATGTATATATTTATTATATCTTGGACACAAGTTTGATGCTGCAATAGTGATCCTAAAACGATATAATGGAACATCTATTAAATATTAACTTACACTTAGCATACATAAAAAACCTACTTTACATATTTTCCAAATTTCAATCACATACACGATATTGTTTCATATATATATATATATATATATATATATATATATATATATATATATATATATATATATATATATATTTTTTTTTTTTTTTTTTTATACCCAATAAAGTCAATTCTTAAAAAAAAAACTTTTATTGGCCGTATAACAGCTTTTATACAGTTGTGTGATATTTTTAAACATGCTAAATATATTTATTTGACATTGCAGAGCTTAAAAGGCAATGCTTGTTAACGGACAAGACACAGGTGTGTGCAGCTGCTTGATCTTCATGCACTAGACTAAGAGCAGTAAATGACTTGAGCGCAGTGCACTAGACTCCTATAATCAGAGTGACGGGGAATAAAATGAGAGGCTGTGGGCAGCACTTACTGTAGGTGGCTGCTGTTAAGGGGGTCCAAAACCAATCTGTCATTTCGAGTAAAAAAATATAACAATAATTTTAACATAATCTTAACTATAAATCATTAGTATGTTGAATTGAGATATTACCTGGACGTAGACGTCATACAAGCAACCAGAACGGAACTCTACTTTTTAAAATATAGTACAAGTGAGAAGTTGAACGCGTTCAAGTGCTCGATTGTGGGATCCGTAAAGCCGCGCCTACTTTGATTTGATTGGCTATAGCGATTTTGATATTGATGAGCTAGTAAACTGTGGCAGACGAAAATGAACCTTAATCTTTTACAAGGCATTAACATTAAATAATGTAGTACCAACATGAAATGATGCAAATTTATTAATTTCCTGAATTTGACCTGCTTAGCTGCTATGAACAACCATTATTAGTTTTTATCAGTTTACTTAAGCGTGTTTTAGAATGTGCATGTTAAATTACTTTATGCATCATTAAATTAAAATTATCACGCCAAAATAAACCAATAACAATATTAAGATAACAGTAGGACATTTTATATACCCAAATTTATATTCAGCAGTAAATCCACATTGCTTTGCTGATTATTTTGAATGACGCACTCAATTAATCCTATTACCCATTTAAAACGCATTTACAAATAAATGATTTAATCATGTTTTAATACCCCAAATCAGGTGGACCGTAGGCTAAATCAACAATTTTTCAACTCATACTAAAGGGGAATAGCTGTTCACTTGCTTCTACTGACGAGTTCTATTTACCTAGTTTAGCAGAACTCGAGAGAGCGAAAGAAGATCGTTCTTTGATAGTTATCAACAATCCAGCACTTAATGTTTCAGAACAAGGACTTCAAAAAGTTTATTTTCGGAGCTAAATCTCCTGACAGTACATAATGAGCGAGTCTTACCTTAGTGACACCGCAGTCCTGTTTAAAACCTCATTGACGGAGCAGCAGCAGGTCGTGCGCTGAACAGAAGAGGGGGCTCTGCTCTGCTCTTCTACTTCCGCACTCGCTTTATAATACAAGTCAACTTCATACACACCCAAGACCAAAATTATATCCGTAGTCAGTACATAAAGTTATTAAAACGGGTCACTGAAGAAATGCAGGTAACAGCTTTAAAAAAAAAAAAAAAAAAAAGCAAACATTTCATACAGGTGGACATTTCCTCCATTTCAGCTTGTCATTCACATTAGATATTTACTCTATTTTTCCCCCAATACAAATATGAACGGGGACGGAGGCGGCTGGATCTAATTTTGTGTGGCACAGAAAGCTAGAGATTTTAAACAAGCATTTTTTGTTAATTTCAGAAGAACTGAATAACCTTAAAATAAAATGTATACTGGGTATAATAAATAGAAAAATCAATCAGCTTCCAACAAACCCAAGTATTTTTAATCACAGCCACATGAAGCGGTTACAGGAACAGGGACGCTTAGGAAACAAAACTGGCCCTACACAACACTGATAATGATGAACATGAAAACTGAATGTTAATGCTGCATAATTCACTGTTAATAGTTACATATTCACTTGACTCAAAACATAAAAGCACAAAGGGTATACTGAATAAAACAACAGCACCAATAGTATTAAATAAAAAAACAAGTGCTGAACAGTGGCTGTTATTTTAAAGAGATAGTTCACCCAAAAATGAACATTTACTCACCCCAAGGGGTTCCAAACCTCTATGAGCTTTTCTTTGTTGAACAAAAATATTTTGAAATAAAAAGCAGAAAATCTGTAACCAATGACTTTCATTTTTTGAATACCAAATACTGAAGAAGTCGATGGTTACAGGTGTCCAGTTTACTTCAAAATATGTTCTTTGGTGTTTAACAGAGAGGACTCAAAATAGTTTAAAAAAGCAAAGAGTGAGTAAATGATCATTTTCATTTATGGGTGACTATCCCTTTAAATCTTTGGGTATTGAAGATCTTGGGTTACTATCTGGATCCAACTTGCTTCACAAGCAGGAGAACCAACTCCTCGATACGGTCCATCTGAAAGGTGGGGTAAAGAATTGATGATTAAAAAAAACAGAACTAAGATTTGAGGATTAAAAAAAAAAAAAAACATGCAATTTGAACTTATTATTCAAACCTTTTGCTTCAGCTCCTGACAACAGCAAGATTGTGCAGCTAGACAGAAAATAAGTAAAAGTGATCATTCAAATTCAAAAAACAAAATTGTATTTTAAACCTAAAAGCCTGAAGTATACTTCTTCATTTTTACACAGCTTTTCAAAAGTACATTCTATTTGAGAGCACAAATAATCAAATATACTTGCACTATAAATAGTGCAGGACAATATGGCAAATATGCAATCTCGATAATTTTTTTTTTATATTGAATAATGATATATATTTCGATACAACTTGTTAATGCTTTCAGATTTAAGAGTAACCCAACAATGACTGAAGCCACAGAAAAATAGAGGGCCCATTAAACGGCATAACATTTTCAGATGAAACATTTTCAGTGGCTGGAAATTCAGTACATTTCTATTATTAACACACTTTTAAATTTCCATTGTTGCTCATTACTGCTGTGTTATTAGCCCCTTTCACACATACAGACCTTTCCGCAAAATTGCCGGCAAATTTCCGGAAAGGTTGTATGTGTGAACAGGTCCTTTTTGAAAATACCGGTAAATCCGTTCTGGCTATTTTCCAGAAAGAGAAGTTGTAACATTACCGGCAATTTGCCGGAATGCTGCGCTGTGTGAATGCAGAAGGAAGATTGCCGTAATAAGTGCGTGCACGTCTAGAACGTGCTGACGTGAGACGTCTGCTTTAGCCAATCACAACAGTCAGACGCATAAAAATAAATAAATAAATAATGTAAAAAAAAATAAAAAATATAGTCAGACGCATTTACGTCCGCGCGGTTTATGAGAATAAAAGCCTTTGAATATTTTTCCAGACACATTTAGCTGCTAGAAGTTAGTCAGATCACGTTTATATGTTCCTCTTAATGCCAACTGTGTAAATAATCATCGATGAGATGCTTATGATAAGCCGTTGTTTGTTTACCTTCAAGCTTTGCGTGTGCCTGTGAGCGCCTGCACACGCACATATTATGAACATCTCGATATGCGAAAGTGATCCTGCGAAAGTTGTTCACAATATTGATCATCCACAGAGTTTGTAATTTAGTCAAATGTTTACAAATACAAGCGCAGTCGTTTAAAGCTCATTTGTGGTGAATGATGTCAGAATATACCGGTATTTTGGAATGGATGTGTGAATGCTCTTTTTCTGGAAAATTTCCGTAACGTCCTCGCCTGTGTGAACAGCGCTTTTTTGAATATACCGGTAAAGTCGTTCCGGAAATTTTCCAGATATTTACCGGTATCACTGCGTGAAAGGGGCTATTGGCTCTTAGATCAATATAGAGTAAAAATATCCAGAGCTTATAATTGTTATTGACATTATTTTTTATATTGCCCAGCCCTAACTTTAAAGACTTATATCGGTCCAGGATGTGCTCCTTTTCCCCCTACCAAAAAGTTATGAGTGATACAATTTGAAACAGTAATACCCACCATGGCTGCTCTCAATACTGCTCACAGTGTCGGGTGTTGGAGTACATTCCTCTGCAGTCTTCGTCTTGGACATGTTTTCTGAAATTAGACATAATAAATGTTTGACAACTGCTGCTCTGGATATGATGACAAGGCTTCTTTTAAATAACACCTTAGAGTTACAGCTGAGAACACCAGGTGGAACAGCACCTGTGCACCAGAATTTCATTGCTAAAGGTCCTGAGCAAATTCCTACACAGGTCCTGTAAACCCATACATTACTACACAGTCCTGCCAACATAAATTCTGCTCAATGTTTAATTCCTCACCTGGTTCCTCGGGCTTCAAGCTGACACTTAAAGGCAGGGTTTGATCATCCAGAGCAGGTTTCTCAACATTTGTAGATAGAGTTTGCTCTACGGCCTTATTTGAGCTGATAGGCTGCGTCTGCTTCTGTTCAACATCCTTTTTCTCTTCATTGACATTGGCAGGCAGCTTTGAGCTAGGCTTGATCTGTCCTTTCTGCAGAGCTCCAAGGATAATGGAATTAATGTCTCGGTCAGATTGACCTGACTGCTGGGTAAGGGTTAACAGGTTGGAGGTTCCATCAAAGCCCTGAAAGGATGCCAGGACACCCCCACTCAACTGAATGCCAAAGAGTTCCAGCACTTCAGTAGGCCACACTACAGGGAAGTGCTCTTTACCTGTGCAAAAATGTATTAAAACAACCATGTTTCCATCCATGTACTTGTATCCTCATTTTGATAAATTACATTTAAATGAAATTACATCTTAGCATAAAATGACCTTCACAAACAATCCATAGTCCTACATGAGCGGATTTTACTTATTTAAAATTTGTAGATTTAGTTGAAATCAGTTGGTAATTTTACCTCTCAGGGCACATCTAACTATCTGGAATGGATGCTGGAGAAGTTCTTTGGTGATGGGAAGGATACTGGAGAGAGGAACAGTCTCCATGTTCCCATAATCAGAGTAAATGACATGTGCATGCTTTGTGGTTACCTCCAACACAACAGCTCTGTACCAATTTTTGTCACCTGAAACAGGAGTTGCATTTGATGGTTGTATTTGGTATTCTGGATATTTGACTGGTATAAGAAAGCACATATAAAAAATGCATAGTACAACCACATCAACACTGTATCATAAAACACTCAAACATTATTTAGCATAGTTTTCTCAAAAGATATGAATAGAATAATTGAGGTACTCAAAAGCACAGTCAAGCGGATGAATGTGCATTATTACAGTGGTAGCTTAAATGTTCAGTTTAATAACACACACAGAAATATTGTTTTATGCTGCTACACACCAGACGCGAAAGCATCAAGCGCAAATAATTTACATGTCAAGTCAATGCAAATACGCAAATAGGGATCCTGCAGTGTGATAATCGCGAACGAGGCGGCATAAATGACGCGATTGGCGCGAATGAAGAGGCACAAGTTGAACATTTTGCACAATTAACATGCTTCACACGTGCATCGCATAAATTGCTCGAGTTGAAAAATCTAAACTTCATCGGACATTTGCGCCGCGTTAACCTACGAGAAGTTTGCTCGTGGGCATGATTATGAAGTAGCACCTGTTGTCGGTGTCCAGGGTAGGAAATCCTCTTGCAGACACCGGACCACAGCTAATTAAACTGGGCTCAGCTCAGTCTGAAGCACCGCTGAAAGCCTCCATCATCCAGGTACAGTTTCTGGAGGAGTTTATGAACTCACAGGGCTGGGTGCACCTCTGAATAGATCTAGAGGACCCAGACATGGCTTCAAATGGATCAACACCATTTTTCAGCCTTCCTAAAGCAAATAAACAGAGCTACTCTCTCAATAAAAGCGGTGTCTCATTTCAGAGTCTGCATCCTCTGAAGGATGCATTCGAAGTGTGTTGTGTCATCGTGGCATGACAAAGGCAGTCTCATTTTAAAAAAATGCATCCTTTGCTTCCCAGGTAACATAGGCCTTGAAAGTCCCATGATTAATTGCACGTTGAAAACAGCAGGACATTTTTAAAAGAAAACTCCAGATTAAATGTATGAATTAAGTTTATTTTACTTGGATAACACATGTTAAAAATAAAAAGAGTATGACATGTCTTAGCATGACTTATTGTCTAAAGTGATTTTATAGACAGTCTACATGTTGTGTACATGTATAGATCAAAGGAACTATATTTCCAGCTTCTGTATACCTTGTTTTGACTTTAGATCGCTTGAAATCAAGTTTAAAAATCACTTTGAAAAAAGTAATTGCAAATTTTATTACTGCTTAAAAACGGCAGCTGTTATGGTTGCCTGGTGATGAGATCAGTCCTCTGTAGGCTAGATCGTCTCATTTCAAAAACCACATTCACTGTATAGTTTATCACGTCCACAACAACTATTGAGAGTAAGCAAGAGATGAAAGACAGACTGACCTGAA